AAAGTTAAAATATCTTTTGAAATTCCCCACCCACTAAAAAGCGCGCTCAAGAGGTTGTATGTTGCGAGCGGGGAAGGTAATAACGACAGAACATTTTTCGGACATAGTCAATACATCAATATGATGTGAACGTCAAAAATTATAAGCACGTTTTTCGGGGGAGCAATGTATCACAAAATGTTTCTGAAAATTACTAAAATTTGTTGCAGTCATCCAGTAAGAAGTTTTCGCAGCACCAATTGTACTTATAAAGGAAATGGTCTTTAAAAATGAAGAAACGTAAACATAACCGGAAAAGTGTTTCTTATTTCTTATGGCACACTAAACATTGATTGACCACACTAGTCACTGATTGACCTCACTCGTCACTGATTGACCTCACTAGTCACTGATTGACCTCACTCGTCACTGATTGACCTCACTCGTCACTGATTGACCTCACCCTACTGATACTATAGCACCAACTTGTTTATCCCATTTTTAGCGACGTTTTTCTTGGCAGCTGAACATCCATTTTTGTCGACATTCCAGATCTTATTTGGAGAGAACCCACATCTCTCAAAAGAAATCTCATAGTTATTAAAAAAAGAGTGCCACGTTATGTCGATTAAAGCTGGTTGCATGGCACAGGGAGGGTCATCTGGTTGAAGAAAAGACTTGTTCTTCAAGCAATATCTTCGAAGATTAACAGGGTATTTTAAACACTACTGTCTGGCGTAGTTGGTTTTTTTTTGTTTTTTTTTTCGATTAATGTTACTTGCATTGCGCGATCCATCACATATTTAGGGGGGGGCATGCCACAATCAGTTTTTCTTTTATCGTTATGAATCTCTGGTTTTAAAAATGAAATGCATTTTCATGGCTTTTTTTTTCTATTTACAAAACTTACCATATTTCCCTTGATAAATACCGAGTCTTAGATAAATGTCCTTGAATAATCCCCATGCCATTTTCATACAAGAATTGCAATAAGCGTTTTCCTCTAACAAGCGTCCTCCTTTCACTAAATAAAAATAAATATCTCAGACTAAAAGGAAAACGACACACCGTATTGATTAAAAAATTAATAACTTCGCCGTGTTTATTAAAGTAAATATATTATTTAAACACATGTTTATTAAAACAGCTGAAGGTATAAATGCTACTAAATGTTTTAATGTATATGTGATAAATTAGCGCTTAGTTGAAACTCTCCGACTGGCCCATCTTGAAAAGTTTCAACTAGTTTTATGCATTAATATTATCAACACAAGTAGTGTGCTCAAAGGTAAACAGATATTGCAAATCACTTACAATTCAGTTTCAATTACTTTCTAGTAAAAAATCAACACAAACAATGAAACATTTTTGCCTAATTTATTTACTGTGAAAATGAACCTCTAGCTAGGAGTAAATTTAAGTTAAGACGAGAAAAATACAAAATCTTTCTGTATATCAGAAAAAATATCTGCAATAACTTGATATTAATATGGCAGAAATATTATAGCAAAGTTGTTCACCAATTGGCAGCAAAATGTTTCAACTATACACTTTTTATTGGTGTTAGATTAATTTTTCTTCTTTTGTGTGTGTGCATATATATATATATATATATATATATAGACAGATAGATTTATGTTTTGTTACTCTCACCGTAGTATGTTTGTCATAGTCATTATTTGCGCTCAGGCAAAGTCACAAGCAGACAGTGCATGGCTGACGGACTGAGAATTAGCTTATCTTTTATAATAAAGATTTATTTTTACTAATTTTGCTTTCAAGGTTAGTATTCGAAAATTAAATCCTGATTTCTACATGATGACTATTTAATATAAATCCTCTAAAGTACTTTTATTGCAATTTTATATTAATGGAAAACGTTGCAAAATAATTCAAACTATTAATGCGATTTTCTGGTAATTTTACCTTCTCAAATTTTTAATGTCGCGATTGTCCCACATTTGTTAACTTAAAAGCAAACTGCGCTTTATTAACGATCATACTATAAAAATAACTGAACCATAACCGATTCCTACGCATTTATGTATTTACATACTAACAATAATTGCTTTGTTGGTAGTCAAAGTCGTAAAAATAGTCGTTGAAATTATTTGACGGTCACGTTAATCATTCAACGTGATGGCGACGATGGAGGTGGAAAAGAAGCGGGGAGGCAGATGCCAACCACATTAATAGCAACTCTGCATGAACAAAACAAAAATGCATTGATGTAGCATGTCCTATTCTTTAACTGTAATTGTTTAACAGGTACGGATGTGGATGGGTGTATAAATAGGGCTCTTACACAAGCGCGTACAAAATTCAATCTTTCTTTCTTTCTTTCTTTCTTTCTTTCTTTCTTTCTTTTCTGTCTTTCTTTCTGTCGAGAGCTACCGGGAGTTGTTCAGTATCTGGTGAAGGTGGATGTGTTTGGACCAGAGCTTATTTTTTTTTTTTCAGAATAACAGCAGGTCAGATTTAAGCTGCTTAGAAAACTTGACCTTGGCGATTAAGGAGAGATTTTATAATTAGATATTGCTGAGCTGTTTGTCGGGTCATAAACATTCACAATACTGTAGTTCCACCGTTTGTCTGTCTGTCAGTCTCTCGCTCAGTTTTATAGGCACATTTACTGCTTTGTGCGCTTTTGCCTATGTTTTAACTGTTAAATGATAAAAAAGTGTGACAAACATTCAAAGTTGAGATACTTGCAGATAGAAACGAAACGCAGGGATTAAAATGAATAATAGGTGAGTCACATCATCACTCAATCTAACTGATGCCTAGCTTTTAAATCATGTTTGTCTTCATTGTTAGGCGTGTGTTGCTGTATTGTTGAACTTAAAATCCCGCACAGCCTTAACGGTTAAACCACATGACCGTAATGAATGACTGTTGGAATAATACGGTATTGAATGTGTACTCGGGGTTGCTTTTGTCATTCGAAATAATATTTATAGAATATTTTAATACGTGAGGTGAAAAATCCATCAATACAGGACTGATTAGAAAGATTAACAAATAAAACAAATTTCTTCTTGCTAAATATTTTAATCCCGAATTAAATCATGATTTTTATCCACATAAATTCAATCAATTTAATCATATCTATTCGATTTCAAACAACGTGATCTTTGGAAACCTAAACAAGATCATGATTTTTTTTTATGCAGTAGTAACAAAAACTAAATTAGTTCATGACATTGAAAATTATTCGTTCTTAATATAGTATTTCTAATATTAGTTCATTTACTTTTGCTATTACATCAGCACTTGCTTTTTTAGCTATAAACATAATTGTTATTTAAAATAGACGCTGCTTAAGAGCTCAGCTTACAAGTTGGAAGTAAATAAATTGCTATAAAATACATTCTCATTTAAGTACGGCAAATGTGTGCATCAGTAAAGACAAAAACAGTAATCGAGTATTATGTATGCACTAATCGAATTTTGGTAATATAAAAATTGTAGCGCACTAATCGAAAACGCATTAATCGAGGGATTCCTGTATCTTTTTAGCGCAAAAATCGTAAGTTCTGTTTCAAAGCTTACAAAGTGACATAATAGGGAAGTAGACTGCGATTAAATGTTGGAACCGACTCAGTTACACTTTTTTATCACAAGATTATAAGAAAAAAAAAATTCAATTTTCTCTTCAGAACTATATAACTAAATTCACCATATAAATATTGGTATTTTCTTTCTCTCTCTCTCTCTCTTTATGCGTCCCTGGTTTGATTACTTTCTCTCTCTTTCACCTCGTGTGCCATAGTTCTTCAAGACATGGGTTATCATTGCTCTCCACAGCTTCCTGCATTTTCTTGCTTTCTGTAATATTTGCTCTTTTTTATGACTAAGCCTCTGTCTTTGTGGTATTCATCCTTCCATAGATTTGCTCAAATATCTCAAGTAGGTTTCTCAATCCTTTCTTATGCTCCCCTTTCCTTCGATGTTCCCTAGGTGTGCTAAATTCTCCAAACCTTCTTTCCTTCTTTCCTTTTAACGGATCTTCCCGATACAAAAAGCAATTGAAAACGTGGGAATCTATCTTTACAGACCAGAATTTTAAACGTAAATTGCCCCAAGTGACATCTTAAACGATAGTGGAATAGATTTTAAATATTTACGTGTTCATAGTCTTTATTCGTTGATATTTTTCGATAAACTTTCTAACAAGATTTATTTATACGATAAATACAAATAAATCCCGTTGCCGAATGCCGTCATGTACTGTCTGACATTTGCATAATCTATTGCGAAGGTATCTATAGCCGTCTACTAGGGCGGCTAGCCAATCCTTATTGCAGACGCTTGCTCAGGCACATTTGTGTTTGTTCAACACCCGCAGAGCCCACCTGTGGTTTATACTGCAACTATACTGAGCGTGTTATCTAGCGTGTTCAAAAATCTGAACAAGGCCAGCACGCTCAAATCCTCGGTCACGATGACTTGTGACTCCGTGCTAGCACAGCCATCGAAGGCCCCTAAAGGTTCCGTCTACCCATTTTCACTCACAAGCCTTTCACTCGCGTGGTATAGTTTTCAGGCACGTTCCAAAGCACGCTGGAATTCTCCATGGTGAGATTCGAATCCAGTTCTCAAGTTCAGAAATCGAACCTTCTAAACATTCGGCCACATGAAGATGTAAATAAACAAAAATACACTTGTCTCAAAATTTGCAGTATTTTGCATTTCAGCTTAAGTTCATTTTACTGAGACCCAACAAAAATCAATACAAGACTAAAACGATAAAAATAAAAGTTAACCCCTAAAAATTTAAAGGCAAACAGTATACCGGAAATAAAGTACTCTTATGATTAATATTACCTTAATATGGTAAAATTGTGTTGAGCAAAATTCATTAAATGAACGTTTATAATTGCATATCTATATAAACTATATTTTATCTCATTTCAGGAACTGGACGACTTTGTTGCAAAATGGTCATGATGACACGAGTTCATTTTAGCAAGCGAAATATCCATAAGATAGCGCTGATTTGCTTAGTCATCTTCCTCTTGATGGCAGTCACCGCTTACCATCACTTCCGCTATTCAATAGAACAGTATTATGCTCGGATTACACCCTACGAAAGACATTTGCTTTTGAGCACCCTCCAGGCATTTACTCGGGCAATGGATGCTTATAATTTGACGTATTTTCTTTATGGAGGTAGCCTTCTTGGTTCTTACCGACACCATGGTATTATACCATGGGATGACGATGTCGATATTATGATGAACAGCTCGCAAAAAGAATTGATAAAAAAGGCTTTGGGTAAGAAATCACCTGATTATGAATTGGACATACCACCGTCTGGTCAGTGGAAGTTTTATTATACCCATATGCACAATTTACTAAATCGAAATCATCGCTGGCCGTATGTAGACATGTTCTTTTTCGAGGAAAATTCAACACATATTTGGGATGAGGTTCCCGAATACGGAAAGACATTCATCTTCCGCAAAAATAAAGTATTTCCATTACGCAACCGACCATTCAACCATCTAATGGTGCACGCTCCTTGCAACCCAGCGGCTTGTATGAATGGCTACACTGAAGAGATATGCGTGGCTAGTAGCTATTCGCATAAAGAAGAGACTCCATTGCCGGTTTACAAATGGGTGACTGTACCATGCGATAAACTAAAGTTTCGTTTTCCTTTCATACAAAGAACACAGTTTGATGACGGCGCATGGAACGAAAGTCTTGTGAACAACACCAAACTTATACACACAATTATCACGCCTAAGTATTGCTAGCTATAGAATGAAGAACTGCTTATTGTCAGGATGGACAAAGTCATTTTGATCTTTGGTGTGAAAGGATAGCATTTTATGGCTTTCTTTCAAAGTTTAACTATACCAGAAAAGGATTGAAATTTAGAACTAGCATTCTTCTTCTCGTGGTGACAATGATCTCAGTTGATGTATGTGAGCAAACAGGATTTCCTGGTGAATCCTGATGTATGCTTCGAGTAAATCATTTAATGTTGAATGAAGCGATGACTTGTTTAGAAAACATTCAAGATGGGGTATCCTCTGATGTTTTCTATCAAATCGGAAACAGTTTGTGATCATCTGACAATTGATAAACTTCAGCGTCCATCTTACTTCAACAGCACAACACATCATTAAGGAAGACCGACATTGTTTGTCAACATCAGTTGAGCGCAAAGGCTTTACCAACTGGAGATTCGTAAAATGCAACTATTTGTTTGCATTGAATATCAAATAAAGGATTTCTCTTTAAAAGAGAACGTAAAAACTGTTGCTGGTATGAAGGAGAATATGTGAATGTGTGTGTAAGAGAGAAAGAGAGAGAGAGAGAGAGAGAGGAGACAGAGAGGGAGAATAAGCAACGAAGTTTAATGTTTTAAGTTTAAAATAAACCCAGATAAAAAGAAGAAAAATGCATAGAGTGGAAATTGATTGCGTGTAAGAAAAACTATAAATCTGGTTTTATTTTATAGTTTTTTTTTGTTTTTCTATTTCTGATCAAGTAAACGAAATTGCTCAGAGTTTCCTTCTTAATCAGCGAAATTAACGGAACTCTTCATCTTATCTGGCAACGAATGAATGAAATTTTTAAAACTATAGGTGCTGAAAGAATTAAATGACTGATTTTTAATTTTTGCAACAACAATTTCAACGTAGGAATGAATTCAGCTCATGAATATTCAATGTAGATGCTGTAAGAGTTGTTAACATCACAACAAGAATAGGTCTGTTTAAAATTTTGCTTAGGTATTATATGAAAATGCAATTAATCTGTAGCAATGTTTTGTTGGACACACAAGATTGCAAAAAGAAAAAAAGATAACAGATAAAGTCAAAATACAACAGAGCCAAAACTTGATAATAATAAAAAACTTTACATAAAATGATAAATATTGACGATAATCGATAATATTTTAAACTAATTTATCGATGTTAGTTATTATTTATGTATTATTGTACAAACTCATAAAACGTCGAAAAGTCGCTACGTCGAACCAAACAATTCAATAGAAAAAACGACAGAATGTTTTCATTTTGGGCTTTATTCCCAGATTTCTAAGGGTTTCAAGAATCATTTATTATGTAAGGTATCCCATAAATAAAACATGTAAAGTACCATAGACTAAATCTGATATGGTTATTTGTATCTTAGTAAAACCGTTAAATTGCAAGACAAACATAGAAATAGATTTATTTCTTTTATTATTAGTTCTCTTATTGTAACCTGTTTTAGGATCTTTGTAGGACCTTGTTTCATATATTTAATGTAGAAGCTGCAGGAGTATATCTGTGTGTGTGTGTGTATGTGTGTGTGTGTGTGTGTGTGTGAGAGAGAGAGAGAGATTTAAAATACAAGGTTTGGCATGAACACAATGTAAAAATAAGGAATAGTTAGTAAAATAAGAATATAACTCAAGTGTGTTTAACAATTTCATGGATGGAGATGGAATTTTTCAAACAGTTTCTATTTTTAAAAAAAAAAAAAGATATCTGTAAATATCTGAAGCGAAAAGAAATAAATGCGATAAATTTTTATTGTTCTCTTGTATTTGTTGTTCTGACTATCATTTGTGAATGGCATGTCTATTCTCTTCTTTCATTAATGATTTTGTTAATATAATCCGCATATTGATTTATTTACTTTTGCAACACTGTAATTGAATTAAAATTATTATGAAAACAAAAAGCAAAACAAAACAAAACAAAACAAAAAAAAAACAACATAAAAATCCCCCCCCCAAAAAAAAAAACAACGAACAAAAAAAGAAATTTCTCAATTGTTGAATTCATAAAAAAAGAAAGGGTGGGTTATTTTTATTTAAATATTTAACAATAAGTAACACTTGATATTTTCTCTAATCAGTGTAAAATGTTATGAACCGACCTAACCAAACTGATCGGCCTTTTGCCAACTTTGCTTATTTGACAATTGAAGTATTTGGAAAAAAAAAAAAAGAAAAAAAAAATTAAAATGTGATAACATACACACACACAACAAAGCAATAGATATGAATTTTAGTAACAACAAAGCGAAAGAAAAAAATTGGATTTAAGAAAATGTCACAAATTAAAAATAACTAATTATTAATCAATAAATAATTGATTAACAAGTAAGAAACCTATTCACTCTGATTGCATTTCGTCTTCCAAGAATTTGGTACTGCTTAAGTGGCTAATGCCAATGAATCTATGTTTAAAAAATATGAGTGGAAAATTATTTGAAGATTCCTCGCCATTGACATTGAAAAGAAACATAACGTCTTCAACGTGCCATGATAGTAACAGTAAAGCGAGTGAAGTGACAAAATGACCATTTTTAACATTTATTCTAGACATTTCTCATAAAAACGCAAAATTTTACTGGTTTCAGTTGGACAACATAAAGAAAACAAAATAAATATAACTTTACTATGAAAACTGATTCTCTTAAATCACAATTTAAAGTTTTGAGTTACATTCAAATGCCGAGATAGGAAGACACGAGGTTCTTGTGTGTGTGTGTGTGTGTGTGTGTGTGTGTGTGTGTGAGAGAGAGAGAGAGAAATAGAGAATATGATAGAAAGATAGTGAATGAGTGTGAGAGAGAGATAGAGTTTGAAAGAGAGTGAGTGATAGAGATGATAGAGAGATAGAGACTGAGAGAAAGAGAGAGATAAAGTGTGAGAAAGTGAGTGAGTGAGAGATATACAGAGAGTGTGAGAGAAAGAGAGTGAGTTTGAGAAATATAGAGTTTGATAGAAAGAGAGAGTGAGTAAGTGAGTGGGAGAGTGTGAAAGAAAGACAGTGGGTGAGTGAGAGAGAGAGAGTGTGAGCGAAAGAGAGTGATTGAGAGATATAGTCTGTGAGACAGTGAGAGTGAGTGAGTGAGATAGAGAGAGAAATAGACAGTGTAAGAGAAAGAGAGTGTGTGCGAGAGATAGAGAGTGTGAGTGAGTGAGAGAGATAGAGAGCGTGAGAGAAAGAGAGTGATAAAGAGTGTGAGAGGAAGAGAATAAGAGAGAGTGTGAGAGAATGAGAATGAGTTAGCGAATGAGAGAAAGAGAGAGATAGATAGATAGAGAGAGATAGAATGTAGGTTGACAATCTCCTTTTTGCTCATGTCAACCTACATTTTCTAATAGGCAAACTAAAACAATTTGAAGCTGCATATTTATCAGATGAACCCTTGATCCCTACCCACCCCCACACACAAAGTAGCTGGGTACCGTTTTTCCATTGTACCTTCATTGTCATTGTACAATTTAATAATAACCTCCAGTTTGGTGTTATTTACTGATTTACTCAAACTGGCCTTTATGACTCGAATGCAACGGCAACTGGCAGACATCACATCCGGTTTATGGTCGGCGTCTCCCATTTCTTATCCTCTTTATTTCATACAATCTGCTAATAACTTTTCAATCTGCACATCTTTTATTTTAAAGTACCTGAAATATCTGGTCCTGTGAATAAACAAGATTATTTCATCAGACTAAATGAACCGTCTTGAACAACAACATAAGCAGACGTGTATTATATAATACATATATGTATATAAATAAAAAGAAAGAACAGTTAGTTAAATAAAAAGTATTCTTACCTCCCCCCCCAAAAAAAATCTTTAAATATACGAAGAAAAAAATGCCGTAAGAATTTTTTAGCCGTTAACAATATAAATTTAAAAAAAATCCAGACGACACGCTTTTAACGGATGTTAGATTTCATTGGAAAATACATCCCTACCCACTACCAAAAGTAGCAATAACTGATACATTAAAATATAGACATATTGAACACCTAGACACCCCTGTATAGAAAAATAGATTTATCTGTAACCTTGGAAACATGAATTTTGTTTTAGCTGTGTATTTAAAACCCAGTAATTTTAAAAGTTACTCCAAAATTCGCTTGAGGATGAAATGGAACTAATGTCGTTAATTTAATTACAAAATTAAATTCGGGGCTTTTAGCTTCCATTTTTGAAACATGGTTAGAACTGTGTAGCGGAAAAAAACATATTTTAAATCAATTAATTTATAATATATATATATATATATATATATATATATATATATATATATATATATATATATTAATTATAAATATATATATATATATATATATATATATATATGTGTGTGTGTGTGTGTGTGTATGTATATGTGTGTGTGTGGATCAATAAGTCTGATGTTAGTTGAATTTTGATTTTAAATTTTAATTGTATAATATTTGATGAATGGGATTCATAGAGAAGAGTTAAACGCATTGACAAGGAAGATGTTTATATTGAAAAATAAATATTTGTTGCCAACTTATTGATGAATCCCTACACAGTTTATGCAGTCTCTCTCTCTTATTTTGCACGGTCTTTTATTTTTTCTTCAATCCAATATATTTATTTTTTTCAGCTTATATTTAATTGGTGTTAACTGAGACCAAAAAACGTCTCGTAAATTTTAAGGCCTGCAAAACGAAACCATTTAATAATCCTAGAGAATATTTTCCTTCCATCAGTGTGATTGATGCTAATCTCTCGGAGAGCAACTCATTTCACCTTCGACTCACGTTTTCCATTGATATGAAGTGGAATGATTATATTGAATCAATTGCTAAGTCTTCTGCTAAGGAAGTTGGTTTATTGTGTCATGCCAGACAATTTTTCTTATCATGATCCATCTTGGACATTTATAAATCTACCCTAAAACTATGCCTTGTATACTGCTGCCATATCTGGTCTGATGTTTCTCAAGATTCTCAACAAAATTCAAATAAGGGTTTGTAATTTTATTAATACTGACCTGGCATATAAACTTCAGTCACTTCCTTACCGCCGTGATGTGGCTTACCTGTGTCTATTTTCCTGTTTGGTGCCTCAACCATGTGAATTTAAACGTACTACTAGATTGGCTACTAGGTCTCATCTTTTCACTCTTGAAGTAACTAAATCTAACCCTAAGTTCTATTCTAATTGTTTCTTTTCTCGTCTGTGGAACTTTCCTCTGGTTTATAACTTCACTGGCACCTACATTTAAAAAAAATCTAAATGCAACGTCCATCGCCATTTTCTGTTTTCCTGGACCCGTCCTTTTATTGTCCTTTCTCCTTACTAATGTTTTCTCTTTTTTCTTTCACTCTCAGTAATCTCCTTGTGTCTTAGTGGCATTATCGCCTTGGTTAGGATGAAATGGTTAATAAAATAAGCAATACAACTAAATTATTACATATTTTGTATCGGAATTTGAATGAATTGCGTTTACATCTATTTAGTGCAGAAACACACACACACACACACACACACACACACACACACACATATATATATATATATATATATATATATATATATATATATATATATGAATAGATGCATATATACATTTGCAATTGCTGCAACTTTAACAAGTAAACCAGGTGATAATAAAAATAAACAGAAGTTTCTCCATTGACGTACGAAAAATAAAATGGAAGAGACATCGATAATCTTAAAGAGAATATATACATATATTCTCTTTGAGATTATCGATGTGGAAATTTTTTGACACTTGAAGACTGAACCTTAGGTCTTTTGACTCTTTATAATAACTGAACTATAAAAGCAACTAATTCGGAAATTGCCGCATCCATGTTACTTTGAATGAAAAAAAAAATCTCGTATAAAATGACTTTTTTGAATGTGCGACATTAAATATTCCATTAATAGAAAGAATGAACGCAGCTACTGCGAAATGGTTCAACAAAATTGAATCCAGTCAGGCAGTTACGATTGCTGAATGACATAAAGACGTCCAATGACATTTATTTTCTACCTTTGCTGTCATTTCACTTTGCAAAACAGCAGATACCATTATACATTGGAGACATTTTCATTTCAACAATGCAGGTATGCTTATCAAAGGGCAACTTCACGTCGTAAGTTTACACTTGAACAACTACAATTTCGAGCTCGTTTTCCTGGGGTAAGGGGGCTGGTCTGGGTGACCGTTACTTCTTTAGAGTGAGTTCATTTCTTACTAAGTTCCACATACTTGTGTCAAAACGTAACTAAGTTTAATTATTAAAACACAAGTCTGCTTTTTCTATAGCATCACCACCACTGATATATATATATATATATATATATATATAGATAGATAGATACACACACACACACACGCCCGCGCGCGCGCACACACACACACACACACATATATATATATATTGAGTTTCATTGAATAATTTAAACAAGTTTTATCTGCTTATTTTCAATAGGATCCGTTCATATTCTCGGATGAGCTTTTTACTATCGTAATCAAATGCATTCTAATTATAAACAAGATGAAAATATCCTTAAAAAATTCATAAATACCAACATATCCACCACAGATGCTAGTAAAAAATTAAATAAATCATATATTATACTAAACCAGTATATTGAATTTACATTCGTATTGACACTTCCCCACCAACCAATGTGTTGCAGGAAACCAAAATTGTATATAAATCTCCAATGGAAAAATAATACTTATGTTGTCCACACTACGACCACGTTGTCTCGGTGGTTGAGTTTTCATTTGAATGACATGTATAAACATTTACAATAACATGCTTCTCCACATTCGCAATTTAGAAAAATTCTTGTCGAAAATACATCCATACTTTTCATGAAAATAATAAACATAAACTAAAAATCCTTGAAACTATCTATATTAAAAATTGAAACCAAACCATAACAAAATTAATTATGAATACTGTACAATTATTCTAAAATGTTTACAATAGATAGACTAAATATCAAGTTTCTCATACTATTTTTTCTTTATAAAAAAAGAATTCTTCACACATCATAATTAGTTACCTCCTCTAGAGCGTAAAAATTCATCGCATGGCACAAAAATTAGCGGTCCTCACTCCACACGTAAAATTATAACATTCAGATTAACATAGCAATTTTGTTCTTGGAAATAATGAACACTACATTTTTGTCATAAAAACACACCCTGAGGATGACATTGTGTTAATGTCGAAAGTACTCTGAATAAAACAATATGTATCAACAGGTAATTTTCTCTTTTCTTACACCAAAAAGCTCATCCGAGAATATGAACGGATCCTATTGAAAATAAGCAAACAAAATTTGTCTAAATTATTCAATGAGACGTGCCTCAAGGAAAACATTGCAAAAGTACACACACACGCAATATATATATATAGTCTTAAGGTGTGCTATATTTATAAGATAAAGTGCTCAATATCAGAGATAGAGCGTGTGTAAATATAAATGTGAACATTGGAGTCGTGTGGTTTGTTGATTTTGATTTTTACTACGTTAAAATCAAAAAACTGAAAGAAATAAAAAGAAATTAACAAAATGACAATAAAATAAGTAAAATAAATTAAACCAAACAAATTACCAAACCACACCCGTTAGAATAGACGAAATAGAATAAATAAATAAAAAATAAAAATAAAAATAAAAAATGAATGAACCCAAATAAATTATGACCAAAATATTAGTTAAACTATAAAAATCAAACCAAAAATCGAACGAAAACCTAGCGATAACTGTTATATAAGAATAAAAAAATATACGCTACTTAAAATCGAAAACCCAAAAGAGTAAATAAAAATATACAGTATAATAAATAAATAATAAAAAACAAGTAAAATAAATTACTCTAAATTAATCCAAATAAATAAACAAACTAATTAACCGATCCCCATAAATTAACCGTTAGAAAAAACAAATGAAGATAATCAATCCAAATAAATACATGAAGTAATAAACAAATTAAAAACTGCTCCCGCCAAAATAATAGTTAGAATAAACTACAACAATCAACCCCAAAATTGAATAAATAGCTTTAATTATCTTCCCAAACCAAAACAAAACTATTAAATGAGCGATATAAACAAATTTTTCTGCGTTAATAAAACACCGATTAAAATAAAAATAGATATATAAGATACGAAATAAAAATAAATAATAAAAATAAAGAAATAAAGACAATCAAAATAATTTAACCCAAATAAATAAATAAACAACAAATAAACAACTTCCGGTAAAATAACCACCACAATAAACTACCCACAATGCACCACTGACCCGTATATATAAATAGCCGAGAAAAAAATAAGCAGTAC